GAAGTATAATACATTTACCCACCCTCCCTATTAGTGAAGTATAATACATTTACCCACCCTCCCTATTAGTGAAGTATAATACATTTACCCACCCTCCCTATTAGTGAAGTATAATACATTTACCCACCCTCCCTATTAGTGAAGTATAATACATTTACCCACCCTCCCTATTAGTGAAGTATAATACATTTACCCACCCTCCCTATTAGTGAAGTATAATACATTTACCCACCCTCCCTATTAGTGAAGTATAATACATTTACCCACCCTCCCTATTAGTGAAGTATAATACATTTACCCACCCTCCCTATTAGTGAAGTATAATACATTTACCCACCCTCCCTATTAGTGAAGTATAATACATTTACCCACCCTCCCTATTAGTGAAGTATAATACATTTACCCACCCTCCCTATTAGTGAAGTATAATATATTTACCCACCCTCCCTATTAGTGAAGTATAATACATTTACCCACCCTCCCTATTAGTGAAGTATAATACATTTACCCACCCTCCCTATTAGTGAAGTATAATATATTTACCCACCCTCCCTATTAGTGAAGTATAATACATTTACCCACCCTCCCTATTAGTGAAGTATAATACATTTACCCACCCTCCCTATTGTTAATGTGCTGTTGTGGTCACTACACTTGCATTTCAAGCTGGGAAACCTGGGTTCAATCCTTGGTCGGACCTCTACTCAAGGTCTTAAAATAATTGAGGAAAAAGAGCTACCTTTACATTGACATCAGTAAGTGGTTAGATGTGTGCGTCTTCTCGGATAATGACGTTAAATCGTAGGTGTTTCGCTGCCCTAATAGTCGTGTAGTTTGCATGTGACTTTAAATCGTAGTTGATTTTTGTGTGTGTTGGTGTAATGTACTCAGGTGAATATGATGTTTGTGATGTTACTCTGAGTGTGCATCCACACCGAGCAAGCTGAAAAGTTTGCCTGACCACGATGGGAATCGAACCCGCGACCTTTGGGATACCTGTCCAACTGATCTACAAGGTCAAGTCGGTTCGAGTTGGTGATATTTCGGAACTGAGTCTAGTTCCTTCGATATCAATGTATTCTAAGATATGATGATAGTAGTGTTGTCTGCATGTGACTGCAAATTCAGGAAATTTTTATTCCACTTACCCTGACGAGTCTGGAAGTGGAAAATTAAAAGCAGTGCTCGCCACCAAGCACTTCGGTTCATCCAGTGAAGGAGCCTCCTGAATATAAAACATATAGATGTTTATTTACACAGGATTAGTTTTAAACTGTTCTTCTTCGAGGTGCAGTAAGGGTTTAAACTTTATATCCTTTGTTAGTATAATTACATAGAGGTGATTATTGAAAATTCTCAACGCAGATTGGTTGTCGTTGAGGTGATTATAACGCGATAATCACCTACGCGATTTTCGAAATGGCGGCCGAAGCCGTTTTGTCAATTCAATGACGAAGAAATGTGTATTTTTTATTTTTTTCCACATAATCACCCTCGACTTCATCTCAGTTTTTATTCACCGATAATCACCTCGCCTTCGGCGAATAATTGTTAAATATTGCTCCGGTGTTACTATATAGGAGGAACGCTAAATTAAATTGACATTATTTATAGACAGATGGCTCTATCAATGTTAAACTGTTCTCCCTAGAGGTTCAACCATACAAGACAAGCATATGATGGGTTGAACTATACATAGACTGTCTTCTGGTCCTGGATGGTCTATGGTTCAACCAATCAACCCATCACATACTTTGCGTAAAATAGGAGTTAAAATTTACCTCAGGAATCCGTTGATGGTAAATCATGGAGTTCTCACGATTACTTTTTTCCAATTTAAGTGTGACCAATTTCGCCACCCTAAACGGTAAGAATAAGTAAAATAAGCTCAATATATAAGTCACCACTTACTCGTCTGGCTCTGACAGAAGGACTTCGTCTGAAACCTCAAAGTGTTTTCAATTATTTTCAAGTGCTTCAGAATCAAACCACGAAGGTCTGTGGTATTGTACTAAACATCGCGTTTGAAGAAATATAAGCGATTGTAGGACGTCTAGTAAGATATCTTACCAGATAAAGTCACTGCACTCCGTAAGTGGATGTTTTGCCTTTGGTTTTAATTTGACGTACTCCTGGAAAAATGAAAGAAAATAAATCATTAGAAAATGGATGGAAAAGTATGTACACGAGCCAAAATGACCCCCAAAAGAATTCTGTAGGTCGAATTTTGACCACAGAACGACTCTTTTGGGGTCGTTTTGCCCCTTCTCAATTTATAAAGCGTGTCAGTTGATCAGGGCTTAAAGCTACGAAAGTCAGAAAGTGTCATTACCTTGGCATGGGTGCCTCCCCCCCCCCCTAGAATCTCTCTAACCCCTCTTATAAAGTGTTCAACCCCACCAAAATTTCGCTTCACCTCTCCTATTTTGTGTGAAAGTCTTTATTGTCGATTTCAGATTACTTTTCAAAGCGCGGTTCCCAAGTTTGTTGTCAACTTGCCAATTACGTTTCCAAATTCGGAAGTTGGGCGGGAACTTCGCAACGAAGTTCGCAAGTTCATTTCAAAGTTCGAACTTCGATTGTAAACAAATGTACAAATTTCATTTATAAATTTATTTAAAAAGGCATTTTTCGTCTTGGGAGACCACTGGACCAATATTTTACTGCAATAATATGTGCATGGGACCTTATACAGTAATTCAACGTAATTGGCAAGTTCGCATCGAACTTGGGAACAGCGTGTTGAAAAGTTACCTGAAATCGACAGTATATATATATAACCCTTCCGCCTAACCCCTGCCAAAAGCTCGCTCAGTGGAAATTTTTCCACCCCTCCTTTCAAAAAATGAAAATCCGCCCTTGTACCTTGGCGAGATGAAGACAGGCAGTAATGTGTTTTGAAGCTATGGTTAGTACGATAACAGACATGCCAGATCTGAAAACAGAAATAGAAGAAAAACTCACTGAGACTTGTTATAGCGTGCATATCATTGAATAATTCGCACTATACGTACTGTTCGTTTTCTTCAAGGAATGATACGCCTTGGAAACACCTTGCCACGGCAAAATATAGTTCACCTAAATTGAAAACATTTCATTTAACAATTATTTCAATAATTGTGAACATAACAAAGTTATTACAATAAGGTATGGAAGTCTTCAAAACAGATGTTACCTTTGAACATTAGAAAAAGTCTCCATTTCTCAACAGCCTTTCCGCATTTCTATAAAATAGTATGTATACAGTTTTCGTTCGACATTTCCATCTTTTCAAAAACTCTTTATATTGTTCAATTATTTCAAAGAATGGTAGTAGTCAAGGCCTGATTTTGAGGGGAGGTGTGTGGAGGTGCGCACCTCCCCTGAGATCGTTTTGCACTTCCCCTGAGAATTTTTGCACCTCCTCTAAAAAGTCATGCGCCTCCCCTTGGGAAAGTTTCAATGATAGATCAAAATAAAAATTTGACATTTTTTGGTTGCATAGTCTCTGTAAAATTGAAACAGTGATAGCCATTTATCTTTGTGTCAAGTACCCTTCTAATGCAATGTTGTACAGTCATAATTACGTACGTCACGTCGTTGACTTTGGCCCGTTCTAAGCCCTAACTTTCCATGGGGGTCGTGAGCTAGACCGCTGTACCTCCTCTAAAATTTTTTCCACCTCTCCAACTATTTCCACCAAAATCTGGCCATGGTCAAAATTCAACATTAGGAGTAAATGGCACTTGCGCTAACAACGCTTTTTAGCTCTAGGAAGAACACGCGCGACTTTGGCAGAAATAAGGTTACTTCTAGCTCAATGGCTTCGACCAAACTGTCAAAATTTACCTGTAAGATAGTGGAGGCGGAGATGCATTTATTTGCCACCTCATGCGCAAGTTGACTGATCAATGCTGGCTTGTTGCCTTTGTTCACTGCACGGTTGATTGTTACCATCTAGAACATACAATTTTCAAACACTAGTTTTTACCGCTCTCTAACAGTGGCGTAATGCTCATTGGTTAGGGTTAGTTCAAGGGCGGCCATACAGTCAGCGACGGCCCATCGGCCAGAAAATTAGAAAATGTAAAAGATGCAGGTGAAGAATCAATGGGAGAATGCAAAATTAATAATGCTAAATAATAAAGCCTCCATCGACGACGGTAGCTGATTTTTTAATTCGATCTCAAGTAAAACAAAACTTATTCTTAAAAGTTATTACATGTGTTGGAGACTGTTATTGTATTTGTTATAGACACAAAATTTTCCAGAACATTCTATGAATATTCAATATAAATATAATATCTCAGTCAAACAATGAGAACAGTCAACAGGGGCCCCCATACCAAATATGCCTAAGGGCCTCCTCTTTCTCCCTAATACGCCACTGTGCTCTTATAGACATAGTTTAAGCTTGCATTTGTGGTTTTTACCACTGGGAGACCATACACACCTGCGCCTCAGCCAAGCACTGATGTCTCAAAGCCTGGTTCACAGGAACTGAAGGAAAGAAAGATATATATTATGTTATTTGCCGGCTGTGGGTCCATACTGACTGGTAATTCTAGTACTGATCGATCTGGGAATTAGTTTGGGGGCCACGTTCAAGTCATTCACGACATTGAATCGACGTTATCAGAAAATCTGCCTGTGCTCTTAACAACTTGTAAAGTCCCAATTCCACTCAAGAAAAATTTCCACGGACAGAATATTTTCCGAAAATATCATTGTTAAAAGTTGAAAATTTTCAACTTCAAAATGTTTTTCCGACGGAAAATTTGTGTCAGCCAATCACGTTTTACAACATTTTCTTTCTGTCTGCGGAAAATTCTCCTGAGTGGAAATGGGCCTTAAATCGTCACCTGTTAAATCCAGATAATCAGATTTTGGTCGTTGTTCTACACATTCACAAATGCCAGCAGCTAATTTGAGAGAGTTAAGTGCATCCTGAAAAGCAACAGTTAACAGTCAGAGGCAATGTCAATGTAGAAGAAATCTATAACAACATTCACTTATCTACCTGGTGTCCCAAAAAACAAACTGGACACTGTTTGATTCCATGTAACGTAAAAGCTATAAAAGCTATCGCAATGAAATAAAGATCATTGTATTCAGAAAGGACGAACTTAGATTTTGATATATAGCACTTGAATTTACATGCAATATTGACTGCGCTATTGATGTTTGAATGTTGAAATACTGTTTTTGAAAATGCCAAATATTAAATAATATTATAAATATTTTTATTTTGGTCGTATCTCGCTCAATATTTTCAAGTTAGTCATTTCTCAATGCAATGATCTTTATTTCATTGCGATAGCTTTTATAGCTTTTGTGTTACATGAAATCAAAAAGTGGCCAGTTTTTTTGGGGACACCTGGTACCATATAAAATAAACTGGTAACGATGGTAGGAAGATGGCAGAAGCATGGCACAGAAGCATTACCTTCATCTTATCTTCATTCAGGTCATCTTCTTGAGGATACAATGGAAACACCTAGGGTAGTTACAAATGTTAAAGTCTTCTGACAACAAAGTAGCCTGTGTAGCAGGCGCTATTAGGGGGAGGGCAAGGGTGGGAGAAACTAGGGGGAAGGCAAAGGTAAGAGAAAAAGGGCGAGGAAAATTGTGAGGGGCGTCGCCCCTCCCATTTTTCCTCGCTCTCTTGCCAGTTGCCTTCGCCTTCCCCCTCTAGTTTCTCCCACCCTCCCCCTAGTAGCACCTGCTACACAGGCTACTAACAAAGGAGAAAAAATAAAAATACTTGCAAAAGGAAGTTACCATATGAGCATGCTCCACAAGCCAGAGTGATACAGCAACAAGGAACGCCACTTGATCGACATCAGAATCTTTGCTCACACTTTGCTCCTCTTCAGGATTTGTAAAATTTGTCCACTTAAATCTACATTTTGTTAATTCATTTGCAAATCACAATACTGTTTATACATAAAGTAAACTAACTTTATTTGTACTGGATAGCTCAATTAAATGTAAACTGTTGTTGTCTAAACTGTTCGGTCAGGGATCTCTGATTGGTCCAGTGTTACTAGAGGAGGAAAACAAAGTATCCGGAGAAAACCAGCAATGTTTGGTACCGTAGAGTCATACTGGAAGCACTGTTCTCACATGGGATAATATTATAAACAGATAACTGAATATTGCTGGAATTTAATCCTGGTTAATTGCAAAGGAACATGCACTAACCACTACTGAGCATCTGACACCATTTTCTGTTCACACATAGTGATGTTGAAAAATACTTCTAGCAAATCATTTTGCAAACTTACTTGAGCTTCAATGGTCGTCTGGCCTATAAAAATAAATGATAGATACCTAAACTATAGATACCTTAGTTAACCACACACAAGCAGATAGTTTGGTTAACTCATTGAGCACCAATGCTCTCCGCTTGACAAGTAAAATTGTCTGGCATTAGACAGAGCAAAATCACCTGGCATTAGACAGAGTAAAATCATCTAATGTTAGACAGAGTAGAATTATAAAGTAAGTCGCATTTGGGCACAATGCAACTTAATGGGTTAATATGTCTAAGGATGAACAATTGTAGATCAAAGCATTGTTTATTCTTACACAAAATTTCACAGATTTACAAAGAACATTTGACAGGTTTTAATCTGATCAACCAATCACATTTAACTAGCCTCATGTTTATTGGCTGAGCTAATACAAGCTTCCGTAAAGTACGTCATCTTGGCTATAGAGCCTTGTTTTCGTGATTGGCACATTATGCTTTAATTTAATTATATGTGATGTACATGAAAATGAGGCTCTAAAGCCAAAGTAACCTGCTTTCCAGAAAGGTGTATTAAACTCTTCACATGCTTCTTCTATAGACACTGAAATATTGCATGAGAATAGACGTTTTTATCTACGGCAGTTCAACCTTTGGCAGAATTTACGAACCTCGCTTAAAACATCCCTTATTGGCATGACAAGATACTCATGTAGAGAGTTCATAACTGTACTTGTTGATGTATCTGGATACTTGAGTACATCTTCTAAAGCTTGACGTCTTCAAAACAGTAATAGAGAGGTTACGATTTGACTTCCACTACCGCTAGCAATAACAGTTACAAAATAGGTACGCTAGGCGTACATGTATCTGCACAAAGAAATTCCATGGTTGCTATGAAAAAAATTTCTTTCACAATTATAGTGATTGACCGATAATCAATCGGGCAGATTTTTGCATTATCTGTAGACAATCGGAGTCAGTAGAATAATCTCCATTTGTGATATGTGTAAAACCAATTGTTGAGAATTTGACACACTTTAAAAATCATGAGTAGAGGGGCATTCCCCCAGGAATCCAAGGTTTTTGCATGTTAAATACTCAAAATCATCATTGACCAGTGTGTCCAAATAATCCCTACATATAGGCCATCAGATTTATTTACACATATCAATTAATACTGTAACTCAACAAGTGGTAGTAAAAATAAAATTAAAACAAAAACAATGTTTTTCAATTTCATAATTGCTACTTCTGACACATTTTGTTTTCTTCTGATGACATACATAATTAACATAATTATTGTTGACAATTCTAAAAACATATGGTAAGACCTACGTACATTAATTGCACATGATTTTGTAAAAAACAGAATAATATCGCTGACAATTATAGGCTTGTATTTTAACAACATTCTCCCCATTTTAACCCATCAAGTGGCAGCACTTTTACCTCAACGATTAAAATCGTCTGGCGTTAGACTGAGTAAAATAATAAAGTAAGGCTCATCAGAGTGCATTGCCACTTAAAGGGTTAAACTTCAATCTTACATCAACCAACTCTCCTGATATTTAAAGTCATTACATCACCTACCTTCGTGTGATTTCATGGAGAATTCTGCTTGCACTTGTGCCATTAGGTATGCCTTCAACACATTTGCCAAAATTAATACGCTCCGTACATTTTCTACCCGAGGCAGGATGCGCCATATTTTTAAACTTTTCAATCAATATTTTAAACGATATTTCCTGAATATATAAAATTCTAAAAAATTACAACGTCTACAACTGTACCACAGCTATCAACAGCACCATTAAATCTTTATAAACTTGCTTTGTAATATCAGTTCATAATCCCGAATTCAGCAGCATTTTGGCATTCATTGGGTAAATAGTTGAATGTATGTATCCAGTACAGATCACATAGTATCATAAAAACGACAACTTTTTACAAATATATAGTTCTTTAAGAATATTCCACGTATATTACTCATCCAAAACAATATTGTCGTGTATTCAATTGCTCAATTCATATGCAGATATGCACCAAAAAGAAAATATTTTTAGAAAAATTACGTCGTTTTAAATATTTAATTTGCAAAATAAAATTTTGGTGAGCGCTAGATGGTTGCGGCTGGGAAATGTTTGAACGCTGACCGACGGGCTCATCAGTTTTAATTTAAATAAGAAATAATATTAATAATACTACTAATTTTAATAATATTAATAATTTTAATAATATTAATAATTTTAATATTTTAGTCATATTAATAATTATTATACATTTCATAAACATTTTAATATATATTAAAATAATATAAGTAATTAATTATAATATGTATTAAAATTAATATATTTATAGTTCTGCGAGTGTTGCGTGATGTTGTTTCATCCTGTACTACCAGTATCACAACATCACACAACACTCGCAGAACTAGTATTGTTCGATGCTGAATTGATACAAACGAGTATGTTTACGATATTCAGTATATAAACCATAATTCCAGTCCGCAATGGGACCTGACTGAGTAGCTCAGTTGGCAGAGCGTCGAGCAGGCATTTCGTAGATACAACTGTCTCAAATCTCCCTGTGTTAGAATTGCTTGCGCGGTTTGGAATCATGTTATTGTTCTAATTCGCAAAACATATGCCCCTCAGTCAAATCTCCCTGTGTTAAAATTCGTCTATACTTTGCTCTGGCATTCTGAAACCATACTTGCAGAACACGTTTTGACAGTCCAGTTTTGATAGATAACTGTTTGAGGTCTTTCGAGTCCGGATTATGATTTAGCGCAAAGTATGCTTTCATGATGAGCAGTTGATGTTGCTTAAATGAAGTACGTACTCGTTTGGTTTTTGTACTACAGTGGGCTCGACCATCTAGCGTGAAGGGTGGGCAACCATCTTGGAATGTTAAACCTGAAGAAAAAAGGGAATTGCTTTTAAGAGTGCTTATGTTACACGAGGCAATTTTTGTGAGTTAGAAGCGAGAGTTTGCATGAGAGTTTTCTCAACTCTCGTGCCCCGGTCAAAAGAGAACAAGAGTTGCATGAGTGTTGAGAAGTGAGAGTTTGCATCAGAATTTTCTCAACTCTCATGTCCCATACAAACGAGAACAAGAGTTACATGAGAGTTGATGAGAGTTGATGAGAGTAGGGAAGCGAGAGTTTCATAAGAGTTTTCTCAACTCTCGTGCCTCGGTCAAACGAGAACAAGAGTTGCATGAGAGTTTAGAAGCGAGAGTTTGCATGAGAGTTTTCTCAACTCTCATGACCATTACAAACGAGAACAAGAGTTGCACGAGAGTTGATGAGAGTTGAAAGCGAGAGTTTGATCAAACGAGAACAAAAGTTGCATGAGAGTTGATGAGAGTTGAGAAGCGAGAGTTTGCATGAGAGTTTTCTCAACTCTCGTGCCCCGGTCAACAAAAGAGAACAAGAGTTGCATGAGTGGTGAGGAGTGAGAGTTTGCATCAGAATTTTCTCAACTCTCATGTCCCATACAAACGAGAGCAAGAGTCAAGAGTTACATGAGAGTTGATGAGAGTTGAGAAGCGAGAGTTTGCATGAGAGTTCTCAACTCTCGTGCCCCGGTCAAAAGAGAACAAGAGTCAAGAGTTATACGAGAGTTGATGAGAGTTGAGAAGCGAGAGTTTGCATGAGAGTTAACTCTCATGTCCCATACAAACGAGAACAAGAGTTACATGAGAGTTGAGAAGTGAGAGCTTGCATGAGAGTTTTCTCAACTGACGAAAGGGTATGATTTTGAAGGATGGATTTGTCACGTAATTGTTGAAAGGGCGCTTGGGACGGGAGGTTTTCTCAAAAACAAAACAAATCCATTGTTCTAAACACAAAAACAATTAGTAAATTAGGGCGGCCAATGAGAATCACTGTTTCCAAAAGCTACGCGTTGCCTAAAACTTATCTAAACCTGCACACAGGCACGAGATGTAAATGATTTACCTCCACAACTCAAAACCTCGTGTTTCCGCTTTTTCGATCTCCCTTCACCATTTTCCCTTTTCCTTCTCGCTTGCTTCTGAACGACGAACGTTTGAAAATCAATGTGACAGTAAACCTTGTGACCAATCATGCCAAAACTATCTCCCGTAGTTAGAACACGCTTACATTGCACGCACGCGAAACACTCCAGGTGAAAAACGCAATCACGAGCGCGCATTACCATTTCCGTGCTGTCGATCGTCTGCGAGCACGTCGCACACCTTTTGGCAGCGTAACGCCTGGGAAAAGAAATATATACAAACTAAATTAACTTTATTTATAGTGTTACTACAGGAGGAAACCTGAACTAAACTGTATTTAAACTGGATAGTTCTATCAGTTCAAAACTGTTCCTCCTATAGAGGTCCAATAAGGACAATCTCATATTGGTCCCGTCCAACAAGAGGAAACATAATTATACAAAACTAATATATTTAAACTGGATAGCTCCATTATTTCGAAACTGTTCACCCAGCTAGAGATCCAGTAAGGATCATCTCTTATTGGTTCAGTGTTACTACAAGAGGAAACCTAAACTAAACTAACTTTGCTTGTGATGTTACTCTGAGTGTATATCCACACCGGGCAGGCTTGAAAAATATGCCTGGCCACGGTGAGAATCGAACCTACGACCTTTGGAATACTAGCCCAATGCTATGCCAACTGAGTTACGCGGTCAGGTCGGTTCGAGTATGTGATATTTCGGAACTGAGCCTAGTTCCTTCGATATCAGTGTAATCTAGTAATCATGATATTTGCTGT